CCCTCCGCGCCCCCGGGTCCCCTGCTCCCCAGTCCCCGGAGGGATGCGCCTCCAGGGCGAAGGGAGCCGCGTTGGCAGCCCAGCCCCGATCCGTCCCGTCCCTCCCCTCCACGGCGCCCCTCCCCGGTCCAGCCGGCTTGGCCAGGCCCGGGGCGCTTCCTGCTGCGCCTCCGCCCTCTCCCCACCTTCCCCGGGCTTTGGGGCTCCGGGGTTCGGGGTCCCACCCCGCAGACGCCTCCCACGCTACTTGGGATTCTGTCTCTGGAGGCCCCCCGCCTTTGCCACGCGCGCGCACTTCCTGGGGTCCCCACAAGTTGCTTCCCCGCCCTCGCTCACCGAGGCCCTACCCTTGCCTTCTAGAGTTCATCCCCTGGGCGCGTTAGTGGGGGCGCGAAAGCCAGCGCAGTCCGGGACGGTAGGCGGTCCCGGGCTGAGCCTCCTCGCAAGACCCAGGAGGTTCAGAGTCCGCTTCCTTCCGCAAGCCAGATCGAGCTGGCACGGTCAAGGTTGCAGGGCAGTGGCCTTGGCTTCGTGGCCGGTCCAGACGGGCCCATGGTGAATTTTGCCACCACCACCCCGCCCCTACCACCGCGGCCGCAACCCACAGTAGTTATGTATTTTGTGAAATCAACTACTTTAAGGTCCTCAGTGAGAACATCACTATTAATTTTACTAGGCATTTATGAAACGATTACGTTTCTGTGCACAGGATTAGGCAAAATGCTACTATGAAATGAAGACCTAGATAAGTCTTGTGGCTCCGAAGTTTAGGACACAATGAATGTATGCCACACAAGCCACTTCAGATTGAGCAAGGAGGCCACAAGCGAGGCAGCTCCGTAACTGTTTGGGGAATTGTTTCCTTAAAGCTTGCATTTAAGTTGGACAGTCTGAACTTTTATGTCATGGTGGCAGTGGGTTTTTGAGATGGGTTCTGTTGTTCAACTTTTTTTTTTTTTAAGGGAAATTCTCCATAGGTCACTGGCGGGGCATCTGACCTAAGGAGATGAAGATGTCTGCATTGGGTTTTTAATGAGTCACAGCTCAGCTATGCACTGTGGGAGTTCCTCAGCATGTGACAGATGTGACAGGGTGCTGAGGAAGACAAATAGACATGGTTAGGAATGGTGCCAAATTGCCAGGTGTTTTTTTTAATCATTTTATTAGGGGCTCACACAACTCTTATCACCATACATACATCAATTGTGTAAAGCACATTTGTACATTCATTGCCCTCATCAATCTCAAAACATTTGCACCTAAGCCCCTGGCATCAGGTCCTCATTTTTCCCCTCCCTCCCTACTCCCCCTTCTCTCATGAACCCTTGATAAT